TGAGACCGTTCTCCCATAGGGAGTATGAGGGAACGGTCTTGCCACTCCGCATTGTCACATGGATGACGCGATAATCGCGACAGTGGCGGTACTGAGTGAGATTTGTGTCCATCACCGACTGATCAACAGTGGTGATGGAGATGGCAGCAAGATCAATGGGTTCCTGATTGTGATCAGGACGACGGGACACGGCATCGGCGATGCGGTTCGTTTCACCCTTGATAGGCTGAGTGGTGAAACTGAACTCGGATAAGTCACACCACCAACGGGCTCGTCGAGGGGAAAGTTTGGGCTTCGTAAGTAAAGCGTGGACAACTGAGTTGTCCGTGCGCATCGTGAAGGGCGCCCCGTGCAGGTAGTGACGGCAATGCCGAGCGGCATAAACTACTGCGAGAACCTCACGTTCATCGGCAGTGTAGTTTATCTCAGCAGACAGTAGCTGACGAGAGTACAAGGTGATTGGGGATTCTCCAGCACGAGCCTCGACAGTCCCATCCTCCGTGATGGTCGGGGAGTAAGTAACGGGAGGACTGTTAGTGGATGGAAGAGGTAGGAGAGAAGGCGTCAGTCGAGAAGCAGTGTCAGTAGGAAGGGGGGGGGGGGAGGAGGAATATGAGGATAAGGTGAATCGGGAGGAGAGGGAAACACCTGAGAAAGTACATCTCCTGCTACAAAATATGACGCGACAGTGGTGACGATGAAGGGGCGATCAAAATCGGGGATGCGAAGAACCAACGCACAAGTCACCGCCTTCTTGAGGGCACGAAAGGCGTCCTCGCACAAGGGTATCCAAAACCAAGGCGGGTTCTTCCAGAGGAGAGTGGAGGTCAGTACGTAGGAATACCTAGCGTATCCCCAGATGAAATTACTGTAGTAACTAGTGAGGCCTAAAAATCTGCGAAGCTGCTTGGTAGATGTGGGGATGGGCCACTCTGCAATAGCAGTGATCTTCGCGTCGTCCATGTGGAGACCCTGGTCAGACACATGATGTCCTAGGAAGTCCACTTTGTTATGGGCAAAGCGACACTAACTAAGCTTGGCGTAGAAGCTATGGTTGCATAAGCGTTGTAGTACATCGTGGAGGTGTCTGAGATGGTCTTTTAGGGTACGACTGTAGACCAAGATGTCATCCAGGTATATGAGAACGTATTCTTCATGAATGTCCTTGAAGATGTCTTTCATCGTCGTCTAGAAGTTGGCTGGTGCATTGGTGAGGCCGAATGGCATCACCGTGAACTCGTAGTGGCCGAAGCGTGACCAAAAGGTGGTCTTCGGCTTGTCCTCTGTGGCTACGCGGATTTGGTGGTAACCGCTACGAAGATCGATCTTCGTGAAGAAGCGGTTGTCTGCCAGACGGTCAAACAGCTCATCCGCGTGAGGCATGGGATAGTTGTTCTTAACCGTGTAATGGTTACGGCCGCGGTAGTCAATGCACAGGCGAAGAGTTTTGTCCGCTATGCGAGCAAAGAGGACGGGTGCACCCCAAAGGGAGTTACGGGGTTTCATGAAACTCAATCGAAGGAGCTCCTCAAACTGACGCTTGAATTCCGTCACCTCTGGAATCGAGAGTCGGTACGGTGTCTGATGGTGGACACGATAGTCAGGCATGAGCTGGATAGAATGCTCAACATCGCGCATCGGAGGGATCCCGCTGTATGAGAAATATGGGGGGAAGACGTCGCGGTACTCTCGAATCCGGTCGCGAACAGCGGGCTCTAAGTCTGCCGTGAAGCGTGTGAGTTCCTCAACGTCTGCGTCGGCACGAGACGTATGTGGGGACTCGACAGTCGACAACGCAGGGGTCTGGGACGTGGGGGGGTATCCGGAGGCTGACGGGTGGACGTAGAGATGGGAGTTGCGAAGATGGAGGAAGGGTTAAGGGGATCAGGCTTTAGAGAGATGAGCTCAACCTCGGGACAGAGTGGATCATAGCGAAGAAGATCCATGACGTTCACTGAGTAGAATGTGACGTCCTCCTGTCGTATGAAGTGAGCAAACTGACGAGGAGAAGTGAAGGCGATGTCTGGGTGGGACCCAGAGGGACGAGGGTCCTGGGGAGGTAAGTCAGGAGGGGTGTCGCCCGTGGTTCCAATGAAGGGGACTCGATGAGTTTGACCACACTTCGTTTTGAGAACGAGTGTCTCAGTCACCCATTTGGCCTCTGTGCCACGGGACCAGCGAGACTAGGGAGTGCCAAGGATAAGTCGTACCCAGTCTCCAGCACGTTGATGTATGCGGAGGAATGGTAGCGCCAGGACGCCTGGGTACTATCCGATGGCTGGAGACTGAGGGAGAAGTGGAGGTCGGGGACCGTCTAATCGAAGAAGCGCTGCGTCTTGTCATCTTCGAGGGTAACGAAGAGAGGAGAGCGAGACCCAGAGCCAGAGGTAGCTAGGCAAGCTTCCTCACCCACTCAAGGGTGAACGAAATCTCTCTGCGATTCAGAGTCCCATAAAGCGCGGTCCACCCTCGTAGATGTCCTAGGCGAATAGGGATGATGGGGAGGGTGCGATCAGGGTCAGAGAGCACAGCGAGAAGACGACGCAGGACGTTTACGTGCCTCGTGAGTCGCTCCTGACGAGCCTGAAGAATGTTCAAATCTAGGAGAGATGACACAACGTCATCACGAGTCGCCAACTGAGAGCTACAACGGGCTGTGCGAATGGCGCAATGCGTCGGAAGTCTCGGAGGGGAAGGACTAGATGCGGCAGTCTGTTGTGGGGCAGACGGTACCTCGACAGACGGTGGGGCAGAGGAACTGCGTCTGTCGTGTCCTGAGGATCCTCTGGTGGGGTAGCCAAAGTGGCAAATCGCAACTCGGTGGTCGGGAAGCCGGCTACGTGCGAGGCCTAAGCGGTACACTACACCGTGGCTAGCTGGGCGGGGCTGCCCGCTTTGTCGTCGCCCGTACATCGTACAGGGGGTCCCCGTACGGGCCGTACGGATGGACGTACATACGCCCGTACGGCCGTATGGACGCTCCCCGTACGAGCGTGTTACGGGCCTGTGGGGGTTGCTGGGGGGGGTCTAAGGGGTTGGGGTGTTGGAACAGGTCAGTGGGTGCGGTGCTGTG